TGTGACATGACCAAAGATCCAAACCAACGAGACATTCCAAGCCGAATAGACAACATATTCTACTTAGCCCTCATTTTTTCTGAGAGTTTACCAGATTTGATCTATTTACAACCTTCTGGATTTCCGACATATAATGTCAATCATCTTCTTGGCCTCGTACATGATACATGGTGTTCTTCATTTGCTGTAATGGTGTCTTCCCATGGAAAGTATGCAGACCAAGGAAGGAGATGGGAATTCATAAAATGTACGAAAGAACTGCTAGAGGCTGGATTAAATTTGAGAAGGCTACAGAATATTCCTCCTTGCTGGATATAAAGTTCAAAAATGGGATCTTGAAAATCCTGCCTTGGGTCATTTCTGACGAAACAGAGTCATTCCTTAGAAATCTGATTGCATACAAGCAGTACAATAGAGGAATTGAACCATTTTATTTGACCGGTTATGCCACATTTATTGATTGCCTCATTAACTCCCCGACGGTTGCTGAAAAACTTCGCCACTATGGAATTATTGATAATTGGTTAGGTGATGATAAAGCGGTTTCTACAATGTTCAACAAACAGGGCAATTATGTCACTGTAGATTCTACAACATTTTGTTACTTGAAAGTTTTCAAGAAAATTAATGTGCACTGCAAACGTCATCGGCACATATGGATGGCAAATTTAAGGCATAATTATTTCAACAGCCCGTGGTCTATCATTTCACTTAGCGGTGCTATTTTGTTGCTTCTGCTCACCATGGTCCAGACTATATGTTCTATTCTACAACTCTAACTCATTGTGAGGCTAATTTACTATGTTCACATACGTTGTATTGATCATGCTGTTTTAGATCTCTGATTCCAATTTGATTGACTTGTCCTGTTAAACATAAGTAGTATGTTCAAATAAAGTGTGTTGATTCTTATTATCTTTGAGAGAGAGAGGGAGAAGACAAGCACAACATTGCAACGTATGTGCAGGGACAAGAATGTATGAAGTTAGGTCAAATTTAGTGTATGTAGTCTATGGCACATGGTTGGGTGAAATGTGTGTGATGTTTCTTTAAGTGTAATTCTTTATTGCCATTGTACAACACATTTGAAAGGTGTTCAAGTTTAACCTAAAGCGAAAAATATTAAACTTTAATAGTTTGGTGTGTTACATAAAAAAAGGATTAAAGAACATTACACATATATCAATGTCAACTCAGCAAGTAAACATCTTCACCTTCACAAAAGCTGAGAATATGTGTGAAAATTTTGTGTTGAACAAGCATAGCATCCATAAATGCAAAGGGGGTTTAAGTGTTAAACAAGCTTAGCATACAGAATCTGCCAGCCATACTTAAGAGACAAAGTCAAATATTCACCCGAGTCCCTCCACTTCCACATAAGATTCCAATATATTGTACCCACAAAAAATAATATTTTTTTTGGTAACTGGTAATCGTTCCAATCATGAGTTCTTTAAACTCATAACTATAACAAAAATCTCGAATATACACAAAAATCCATAAATTTTTGTTTCATGTGACGATATATCACACTCCTTGTTCGACCACACATTGATCTGTATGGGTAGCGATGGAACTAGGATTCTATCACGATGGGGGTTGCACCAGAACAAAAGTAAGAATTTTATTCTATTGGATATATTTATACTTATACAAAATTTTTCAAAATTAATTCACATAAAATACCATTATAAAAATTAATTTGAGTAACGAAATTCATAAATCAGTTCTTACCATCATAGAAATGAACTAGTGATAATGTCATGAGCTGCTTATTTGTTCACTATGATACGATGTCATGACTTGACAAAAAATATTTTTATAAGTAATAGTTTTACACAATACGATAATAAAAGTGTTTCATAAGTCAAAACCTTACTTTTTATATAATTCGCCTTTTTACTTTGATTTTGCAAAAAATTCACACTTTTTTTAATAAAAATTTTCTTTAGTCATTATACTTCTCCAATCAGTTATAAGAACGTCACTCATCCATAGATTGCATCATCTATTAGTCTATTAAATATCAATTCATTAGCATTTTGAATACAAGAAGTGGATTGTCTACATATAAAGTTTTTAAGTATCTGAGGGAAATCATAGAGTTTGTAAAATCTATGAGTTGGTACTCCCCTAGGCCCCTTCTTGGGTCCATCTACGGGATATCAAACAAATAGTGTCACTTTCACAAAAAACAACTTACTTTTTTTTTTTTTCAACAGTCATAGTTGTCCGGGTCAACTTATGTGCACCTCGATTAATCCCCTCTTCGGTCCGATCAAAGGTAAACTATTAACATCAGAACTAGAGTATTTATGAGGGATAAATCCCTCATAACCTGACTTCAATGAGTTACTAAGATTTAAACTCGAGACATCTGAATTTATAGTTTGTCTTTGTTACTATTTAAACTATCTTTTGGGGTTCTAAAGTAACAATACTAGGCTTGTGATAAGTAGTGTTATTGCTTTCACTTTTGTAAAAGAAAGCTTAGGGAGGGCCAGACAAGGATTACGTAATTATAGGAAATGAATCTAATCTACCTATAAATTAATGGCTGCTCACAACTTTCTTTGTCATCAACATTTTTTCAGTCCAAGTAAATCACTTATTTCAGAAGAAAAGCCGACGAACAAAAGAAGGAAGTTGAAAATCAGTAAGTGTTGTGTAATTTTATAAGCACTTGTTTTGATTATCTAAGTATTGTAATATAAGTGTGCATGTTTACTTCCATATACTTGGTGTAGTTTCCTTGTTTAACACAATTCGATATTCTTACTTCTAATGAAAAATATAGTTCACTACTCGTTACATGGAATAAATATTTGTTACAACGATAATATTACGTCGTCATCGGTGACACGTGCTATCATCAACTAATAAAAATATACTATATAAAGATAAGTGAACTCCACTATTCCAACGTGTTAGTTAGTCAAAGTGGTAGTTATTAAGAATTACTAAAATAGTGGAACACCCTGCATACACATGATATATTATCATTAGTTGGTGATACCATGTGTCGCTGATAACGTGTGATAACTGTTGCGAGCAACGTTATTTTTCAAACTTGTATGTAGTAACGTGTCCCAATTAGGAATTGCAAAACGTTTCTGTTTCCTTTTCAGCCATAAAGATATAAAAAAATATGATCCATTTACTCCTGAAATATTTTAAAATTGCACCTGTGTGGAAAACCAATGAGGTTTTACACTTGAACTGGCAAAAAGAGACTTATTGAAATGATTTTAATAAAATTTAGGGTCAAATTGAAACAACTAAAAGTTTAAGAGTATATTAAAAACGGTATCATAGTTTAAAGGGTCATTTATAATATCCTTCCAATTATTAAAAATGGTGTCTTAGAGTAAGTCTTTTTAATTTGCTTGTTTATTGTTGCAATAGGTGATGCCTATTTTTTTTTTTGTTAGAGGGCAATTACCATGTTACTTGTAAATGTTTGGTTATCAATATACAAGTCCTGCTTATGCCAAAAATGCTCCTACATAAAATTCAAAATATTTAAATGTTCTTTGTTTCCTACAATTATTCAATTTCAAAATTTAAAACATTTTACTCGGTATATAAAACTGTTTAGGAATAATCTCTTTTCCTTTCCAACTATGTACCTACCTCCTTTCTTCCCCCACCATGCTTAAATTATTGAGTAAAAAGCCATTGAATTTTCATCCTAGTTGGTATTTCAATTTTTCATTTAAATCTTCACTCCTCCAAAAGTTCAATCGTTTCTGTAAATTTGAGCATCTTAACCTCAATGTTCTACGAGTGCTTCAGACTTTTAGTGTCTATATCTAAATTAAAAACATTACTTCAAAACTTAAGATATATTTTGATGTGTTGTGGCCTCCTATCCTAAGTTTCGACTTCTTTGTCCACCATGTCCCTTTTGTGCATCCACTTTTTTAAGAAAACAAAGTAAAACATTTCACCTTAAAAAACATTCAACTATTAGCTCATTTCATATAATTAAAACCTTGTTTTATGTGTAATGTTTTGTAGGATGTTTCACTGTTTTTGCACATTTATTTTGGTTTGTGGCACAAGTAAGATATATTATCTTGATAAATGCTTAGATAACTCTTTGCTTTCAAAGGAAAATAGATCGATGTTTCAGCATCGATTAAAAGCTTGCTTCTCTATCATCCCCATCCTTTGACCCTTATATCTTCAAAGTAAATGATCACCTACGAATGGAAAACAAGAAGGCTTACGAACCAGAAATGCTCGCAATTGGTCCTTATCACTGTTGTAAAACTAACCTACAAATGATGGAAAAACACAAACTATGGTACCTAAAAGGGTTGCTTAAACGAAAAAATGAGTCGAGCGATAGATACGCCGTAGAAATGCACGGATTGGAAGAGACTACACGTAACTGTTATGCAGAATCCATTAAACTAAAAAAGGATAAGTTTGTTGAAATGATGTTACTTGACGCGTTGTTTATCATCGAGATATTTCGACAGTTCAGTTATGGACAAGTTGGAGATACACACGACGGTATTTTTGAAAATTTTCAGATTTGGAATGCTATATTGCGTGATTTACTGTTATTTGAAAATCAATTTCTTTTTGATATCCTTGTCAAGTTATTTGACATGGCAAAAGATTCAAACCAACAAAGCGCACCAGACAACATAGTTGACTTAGCCCTCTCCTCTTTAGCTAAATTGGTTCCATAGTTTGGAAATTTTCCTCCTTCCAAGATTCCACCAAATAAAGTGGATCATCTTCTAGGCCTCTTACATGACACCTGGTGTTCCTCATTTGCTGAAATTGTGTTCTCTCCTGGGAATATTTATGCAAGCCAAGCAAGTAAATGGAGGGTCATAAAATGTGCCACAGAGCTTCAAGAAGCTGGGATTAAATTTGAGAAGGCTACAGAAAGTTCCTCTTTGTTTGATATAAAGTTCAAAAATGGAATCATGAGAATTCATCCATTGCAAATAGATGATGATATAGAGTGATTCTTCAGAAACATGGTTGTATACGAGCAATATAAACAAGGAACCAATGGACGTTATGTGACTTTTATAGATTGCCTCCTCGATTCCCCAAAGGATGTCAAAATACTTCGTGATTGTGGAGTTATTGATAACGGCTTGGGTGATGATAGAGCCGTCTCTAACATGTTCATCAAAATGACTAATCGTGTCAACGTATGTGCTGCAAGGTTTTGTTACTCGAAAGTTTTCAATCGTGTTAACGAGTACTCTGGACATCCTTGGCGTACATGGATGGCTAATTTAAAGCACAATTATTTCAACAACCCGTGGTCTATCATTTCAATCATCAGTGCTTTTTTGTTGTTGGTACTCACTGTGATACAAACTATTTATTCTATCTTACATGGCTAGCTTTAAGTCCGATTTGATTTGCATTACATGGGCACGACCCCCACGGTCAATAAATATTATGTTAGAATAAGTTGTACTGATCCTTCTGTCAAGCTGTTGTTTCGCAAATTTTTGCAGAATTTGTGATCAATTTGAATGTCTTTTAAGCCATTGGTTGGAGCAAACTTTAAGGTTGGTGTTTTATGGAGTTGTAACTTAAAAAATATATTTAGAATTGAGTTGAGTATGCTATTTAACAGTCAAATGGAAGTTCTGATAATTTTGTATGACTTAGATTTGGTTAGTTGTGCATCCTGTGCTATGAGCAAAAACCACTTATTTTTAACAATAATAGTATTAAGATATAATTTATTAACCTAATAATCGAGCACAATCATTTGATAGGTACTGAGTTCCAATCAACAGTAGAATTCACAATCAATTCAATAGTACTAATTGATTAGGTCAGCAAAGTAACTCAGTAATTTATGTCGAAATAACATTACCTGGCCCACTAGCATTTCTCAGTGGTGGGCCACACATATTATTACTATCATGATGTATCTCGATCCTCTTAATTTTGTCAATTTGACCAATTTCAATCATGCCCTTTTAAGTTCGGTGGATCCTAAAAATTGCCTCTATACTTGTCCCGTGAAAGGACCTAAAATGAATCAACATGGATTGTTGAACCAATTCAAATTGGAAAACATTTAGTGTTAAGGGAACCGCTTTTTTTTTTTGGTCAATGAACATGGGTCTTGATTCTCAAAATTTTGGTCAAGTTAAATAATGTGTTCTTTTACAATGCTTTTAAATGCCATACGAGTCTAGCCTAAATGGGATGTTGCGAAAATGAAATTAAAGAATTCTATGCGTATACCCATGTCAACTCTGTAGATCCAACACGTAGTAAACATCTTCACTCTCACAAAAGGTAAGATATTGCACGAGGGAATTTATTGCTAAAAAAATCTTCATGTG